CCTCCGCGTAGTCGCCAGTCGGCACTGACTGGCGGATGGAATCCGGAGGAGGCCTACTCTATGCGATCTGATGGGACGGAGGGAGGCAATTGGCAATTATGGGCAGTTGCCCATAAAGCTCATTAGCATCTGAGGTCAGTGAAGATGATTTCATTTTTTTTTTTTTTTTGTGATAAATCAATTCACAGTTAGGCCCCTGATGGTGAAAAATTGGATCTGTATAGATTTTCTACAGGCAGAGTAAAATGTAGTTTACTTTGACATTGTGGCTGTCACATTTTGGAACACTCCCCTCTCTCCACACCCCCCCTCAATAAATCTACTGAATCTGTCTAACATTTTGAAAAGCATTCCCAAACAACTCTGCTCCAGTGAGTTTTTAGCCCTAGTGGATGACCAGAGGTGTTTTTAATTTCTGTATCATTTGGCATTACAACCGAGGTACAATCTTCTGATTGGGATCAGCTTTGAAAACTGTAAATAAATAGATACACTCTGAAGTAAATTCATTCTAAAACCTGGAACCAGTGCAGAAGGGCCTTCCTCCTAAACAGGCATTTGACAGCAAAATTGACCTTTTCAGTGGGGCTTCCCCTGCAGATGTTAACATCTAAGCAAGTTCATAATGGAAAAGTGGTCCCTCAGGTAGTCAGGCTCTAATCTGTTTTTGAGAGTTAAAGGTCAGATCTATACCCTAAATTGTCCTCAGAGAACAATTGTCAACAACAGCAGATCTTTCAATAGGGATATTGTATCATCCTTGTATCTTGTATTAATTAGTAGCCAAATGGCCGCATTTTGCACCAGTTGCAAATTCCAGATATCTTCCTCTTTGTCCATGATGGCTGGGAAGTCCACAAGATGCCAAGCCAACAGTCTGGAAGTCATCATCTTAACTGCCCAGAGTTGTTGGAAGTCAGGCGGCATTTATTATTACTATTATTTTTTTAAATATATTCGTTATTATTTTTTAAAGTTATACATTTATATTGTGTGTGAACAGAGTTAATTCTGGGTATCACTCATATTAATCCAATTCCCAATAACAATATTAGTAATCTCTTATCACATTTCTCAAATTTAAGTAATCTTTATTGTCCAAACATATATATTCAAAAAATGCGCAACTCTTCATCTTTATCTCTACCTTCATCTATATCTTTCTTGTTCTATCTAAACGTTTCTCTATTATATATGAACAAATGTAACTAAGTTTCATTTATATTGATCCAGTTTATGCTAACATTGTTAATAAT